TACCAAGTTATTTTATTTTTAATTAAAAAAATAAGATTAGAATAATAAATCATAATACCTAAAATTGATCAACAAAACAAAATGCATGTATGTATATCAGATATTTATGTGAAACATAAAAACCTTCTAAAGAAGAAAGAGGGAACACAGCACTGCATACTGATCAGGTATGACAATCCTTATAATGTAACAAAACATCACACAGCATTTTGCAGGGGTCTGCGGACATATCATCCAGGTTTGTGCCATTTTCCATGCATTGAACTGAGAGGTGTACACTCCCACTCATGCCACAGTTAATTAGATGGCCAATTCTAAAACAAAACCACCCTGCAGTGCTTAACATTAACATTACAGACAGAAACTCCATGAGAAACTTTAAGTGGTCGGGTTTTAGCCTACACTGCGTAGGCCATAAGTAACCTCTTGCACTTTGTACTGCACCAATGCATATGTTATTAACTTTCCGCCGGTCAGCAATGTCCTTGATTCATTATAGAACTCAGGCACTGGAGTCAATTATTGCTGTAGATATTTTTATATGTGCTTTTGGGGTTTTATCAACTAAAAGGCTCAGCTTACCTATGAGTAAATCAAGACAAAATGCCAGTTTGGCATCTGAGTTATTAAAGATCTTTACCAAGAATAATCAAAAGCAATAAGTAAAGCTGACATATGATATATAAAATCTATTCCCCTCGTTGTTATTTTTTTTAAATCATTTTAAATATATAGTTCTTTCAACAATGACCTGCTATAGACTTCTTTTTATGATCAGGAAACAAAGTGCAGAGTTACTCTCAAAGGTCCCAGGTCACTGCTGTTTTACTGATCCAAACTGAACAAGAGTTTTTTATTGATAAATGTTTATATTGCTGCTTTTTTTTAACACCAGGGCATTTATTGCATGAAAATATAAAAAAGCTGCAATTATTTTATCAAACAAAATAGACATATTTTCAAAACATGCAAATAATAGTTTAGTTTAGTTATTCATCGGTGACAAAACAATATTTCAACACGATAAATAACTATATATGTCATGATTCATATATTTTAAAGAAGTCACATTTTAACATCAAAGATACATTTAAATTCTTAAAGACATTTCAGAACAATACAAATATTAAGACTGTCAGTAGCTGTTCTACTTACATTTAACATTTTTCAGGTGTTTTAATTTCCAGCTACAGATAGGTGCTGACAGTTTGATTAGTTATGCTTTTCTAATGTGTTTTTTATTTAAAGAACAAGAATGAGAGTTTCTCCTTATCCCTGCTTATCTATGTATCTATGAAATACACATTTAAAAGAATGATTTGTTGAGATTCGTTGTCAGTCTTGCACCACTAACCCTCACCTATCTTTCTAAACCACACACTTGTGATTGATGGACACCATTAATTTAATAACATCAAAGCCCAGGAGGGATAATATGTTTATGAGGAGCATAATTCAAACTGCACACAATTTAAAACATCACTGGAAGATGAAAGCCTTGCTCTTTTCATCTGTGTCGATGTGCTTGTTTCTGCCCCAGAGGACAGAGTAGGGTTATCCTGAACAAATGCTAATGATGTGTTGCCTTCTGCAGCGATCAGGCATTAATCAGGGTGTAAGCTACTCTCTTTAAGGCAGTTGAGATGAACAAAGAGGGAAGACAAGATGGGGTGGCATTGCACCCTTTAACCTGTATGTTCAGTCATGTTTACATAACGCCTCATTTAAAACTGCAGCTACTGATCATTGAACAAAGACTTTGAATTTGCTGATAGGCTTCTAATGACATAACTTCAAAATATTTGCTGCATTCTTTAACAAATACAAATACCATCTAAGCAGTCATATAAATTGAAAAGAACAACATAAAATATATTAATTCAAATATTTTATGGCAAAAACAGTGATATAAAAAAGATTGGGACACACCATCAAGGTCTGTTTTTATATCCATTTGGATAAGTGTATATTCAATATCAGTTTTATGAAGCCATCTTCATTTTTTCTTTCAAATGTTTTACACGTGTAATTTCATTTGAAAGTAGCTAGCCTTATTCAAAGGATTATTGCGTTAGGAGTGCAGGTTCCAACATTGTTACACAGCATTAAAGGAATTGTGATCCATACATTGGAAAAAAGAGGCCTGTCTAAAAAGATTTGCAAGTGTTCTATTTCCAAAAAACAATCTGAGAGTCCAGGAAATTCAAAACTAGCATCACTGTGCATGCTCACATTTGTACATTCCTTGATATTCTACAAACATTCCCAAAAAAGTAACCAAATAACTAAAAGACCAAGTCTTAACAGGCAGAAATTACAGCACAAGTTTAATTTTGATGAGAAGTTTGAAATGTTAGCAAGAAAAAAAAATAGATACAGCTCAATAAGTTAAGATCTTTTAAATCTAGTGTCTGCCACTTTGGCTGTGTGTCGGAGGCTTGAAAGCTCAAAACATGTCATACCCGACACTCAAAATGCTTCAACAAGTGCCTGATGCTCAAAGGATCTCTCTAGGCCCCTGTCCATCATAGATTTAGCATGAAACCAGACCCCCCTGATGATCAAATCGTGCACAGCTCGTCAACAAGCCTCACCTTGTTTTGCAGTTTGTGGGTCTTTTCCTATCACGACTCTAGATGTAAAACAACAACTTAAAAAAATCTTACACATCTTATTGCTGAAACAAGAGGACATAACAGGAACGTTGTTTGAGGTCCTTTTAGAGGCTGGTTAACAGCATCAATAAGTTATTTTAGCTTTATGGTGCATTCAGGCCATATATGATCTGAGCATCGAGGGGGCAGCTAGTTTTCTATGTCTATGGTGGAAGCTTGTTGTTAGAGTAATTGTACAGAAATGCATCTGTATAATGTTATAATGCATAAAGCTGTGTGCTGTGTGTATGCAAATATAACCACCCTTTATCTGTAAGCTTGCTTTTAAGGGAGTTGTGGTTGACTTACTGGCAGCATTGAACCTTCTGACTTTCTGATGTCCAACACAGCAGCTGCTACAGCTTAACCTTGACTGAAGTCTGATGTCTAGCAGAAATGAATTGTTACTTTTATGTTATCTGAGAGCAGTAGCCTTCTCCCCCCTCCCTCAGTGCTAGGTCCAGAGCAAGTGTAAATCTGATTAATGCTAACAATTCTGTGTTTTATCACGTTTCAGTCATTTTAAAGTGTGAACTAATACAAAATCTTTCCAAACTCTCTCTGACCCAAATATGGAGTGGAAGCAAAAGTGACCAGAGGACTAATCTGCTCTGGATATTTCTTCTATGGCAAATTCAATGTGTATCAATTAATTGGAACAAAATCATAAAATAGAATGTTAACAAAAACAAAAAAACGTTTCATCTTAAATCCATTGGGAATATGTGATAAACTCTCAAAATAATCAATTGGATAACCTGAAGTCAACAAATTGCAGTTGGATTCAAACAGCAATGAGACAAGTATGGATTGCCATCTATCAGGATTTAACCCAGACATTAATATCCAATGTCAGGGATGACCCATAAACACAAACATCCATCTACACAAGCATATCTCATTCTGGTATCTCTAATTAACCTGTTAGTCTGTAGCAGGAAACACTGCTCTGCCACTAATACCATCTAAACCCATATTTTTTATTCAATTCAGGGCATTCTCATTCATTTTAAATTAATAATAATTGTGTAATATTTGTTGACATCACACCCATCAAGAACCCCCGTTGGTTGGTATAATGGTTATGATACAGTCCACTTACACTCATACAAAGGAGTTCAGTTCAAGCCAAAAAGAAAAATAACTAAATAACAATGCCAAATATAAATCCATTCCATGTTTTTATTACCGTAAAACAAATTAGTGTTTACTTAAGAAGCCTCTACTCCTTTGCAGGTTACTATCAAACATAGGTACGTGGGATAATGTAGTATGATGCTGACCCCTGCAGGACTACATTGTTGCTGCATTTTTTTATACCTTGAATATTTATTGTTTTAAAGTTCAGTGCCCCTTAAGAAAATAAAATAGTTGTCTTGCAGTTGTTGATTTTTTTTTTTGGTGTTTAGAAAAAATTTTTAATAATAACAATAATACTACAACTAATAGTAGTACTAATAATAATAACAATGATAATAAAAACTGTAATAATGATAATAGACAAATGCTGCATTCTTAAAAACTAATAGTAATTTTGTTATGTTATAAAAATATAATATAAATTATAGTCCATGTTTACTCAACTATGTCCTTATTTAGTTAATTCCTGTTTAGTTTAGTTGTCATTTAAGATAACTAATGCTATAGACAAAATAAGTTAACCTTTAATTTTCACTCGTTTTCTAATTACTATTACTGATGATTTCAGAAAGAATTTTTTTTTTAAGATGTCATCCAATGTGGCAACTGACGCCCTTTTTTTTATGTAAAATTTGAGGAATGCTGACTCACACTTCCTGTTTCCTGTCCAGTCAGGAAATGACAGGGTTTAACCCCTGGCTGCCATGGCCATTCCATTCTCTTATCTTGAAGATACTGCGGGGGCCTCATGGGAGGCTTTTCATTACAAGGATCCAAACTGCTGCAATTTAGTGTAATTTGTTGCTTTTGAAGGCTTCCTGAGGTTTGCAACTTTACTGGCTCATAACACTGAGAATGTAGAAAAAGTTACTCAACAATTTTGTTGTTGCATTTTTCTCACAAGCAAAATTCATCAAATGGTACACGTGATGATAAAAAATGTTAAGATTTTATCTTGGCACGAGAACCCAGAAAACACTGTAGTGTCTTTAAAGACTAAATACACCCATTGAATCTTTTCCTTTGAAATGGCTTAAATGCAGTTTGAGTAGAAAGAATTTTCAATTACTATTCAGGATATCATGAAGAAACCTGTGAATTCAGAGTCTGCAAAGGTTCTTCTGTATGTCGGCTATAACCAATATACTGTATACTGTATGTTCATAAAGAAAATATTGATGCAGAAGTTAACTTTCTTTTGCAAGCTCTTTTACTTTCAAATACACATAAATGGAGAAGAAAAGTGCAAAGTATTGTGCATGTAATCTCAGAATATTGCTTTTCGGTATCATGCAAATGTTTCAACTCTAGCTTTACGAGTCCCCCAGGGTCCAACAGCTGTTGCACAACCTGCATGATGTGGTTCCAGTCACTTAATAATGTTATATATACATACAGACAATTCATCAGTGCTGGTGATGCTTACTCACATTCCATTGCTTAAATCAATGCCACTGATGCCTACTCATATTCCATTGCTTTGGTTAATAACAGGAGTATCATTTGCTGAGACAAAGACACCGTAATAATAATAATAATAATAATAAAAAAAAAAAACATATCAAAGGCTTTAACTTTCATATGTGACAGGCACTCATTTCCGTTGGAGATAGTAGAAGCCAAAATTAGCTTTGACATTCATTGAGAGGAATTATTTCATATAAACTCTCCGTGTGAGTCACAGAAGAGAAGTTCGGTGAGTACACATGTAATTAACACAAAGCATTTCTTTTATTGCCACTTATGGTTGCATCTCATATTGTCCCTCTGTGGCAATAAAGAAATCATTGAGAGTGTTCTGCAGATAATCAAAAGTGGGTCGCTCCTCAGGCTTTTGTTTCCAGCACATCATCATTATATCATAGAGTTCCTCTGGGCAACCATCCGGCCGCGGCATTCTGTAAAGCTTGTCCAGGTTCCTGATCACCTCTGGGTTGGTCATTCCTGGATGGAGCCAATAAGAGAAAATGTAAATGTGCATGTTGCTACATTTTGTCTTCAACTAAAGTAAACTAAAGGACTGCCACATATTACTCCTGCTTAATGCTACTTAAAGCATCCATATGGGAAGGAATGCATTTCTAGTTAAAGTTATTTCAATAAAAGAAAATTTGCTGCACATTTGTTATTTTGATCATTAAGCTATAGAGAAACTGGACCACACTTATCATACCATGGGAATCATATATATAGACCTGTGTTTCTAGGTAGTTTTTTCTAAAGGCTTTTACCTGGGTAAGGGATTCTTCCATAGGTAACAATTTCTGTCAGCAGGATCCCAAAGGACCAGACATCTGATTTGATGCTGAACGTGCCATAGTTGATAGCCTCGGGAGCTGTCCATTTAATGGGGAACTTAGCACCTGAATATTGAAAAAGGTCGAAAAAATGAAAGCTATTTCTTAGACATAACAAGGAAATATTTTTTGCTCTATTTTTTTTTATTTTTTTATCTACAACTCGTCAGATCTTTAAGGTGAGTTGGATTACATTTTTAATATTTAAAAAAAGTTGCACCATTAAAAAACTAGGTATACACAACAATGTCTTTTTAGCACCATAAGATTCATGTCCTTTCACAGAGTGAAGCTTTATTTTTTTTGCATTTCATTTTCATACATATAGTATTTTTTTAAATTTGCCCAAAGCAGTAATACCAGAATTGATGAGAGTGAGATAATAGTTCTTTTTACATGAGGGATGTTTCTGAAGATTTTTAGAAAACAAGCAATCTTGCACAGCAAATAATATCCCACATAAAAAAAATCTACATACTGATTATAAACATAATCATTGAGGTACATTGAAACTGTCTGTGGTGAATTTAAATTTAATTCTAGGTATTTTACTTCTGCTTTTTCTGCACAGTGTTTTTTATTGTGAAACAAGAAAATAATTCTATGGACAAGTATTGAAAATTAGCATGTTGGCCATAAAGATTAAACACATTGCGTTTGTATTGTCTATAACAAATAAAGATGTCAAGGAACAAAAGTCTGTTGTTGTCCTACTCAGCTGCACATTTCATGATTTTTCTATTCTATTCTGTTTTTTTTTCTATTCTGTTCTTAATAAAGATGCAATTAAAATGAGTTTCTGCTTATACTTTACCTTCCTGCGCTGTATATTCTGACTCAATGACTCTAGCCAGGCCAAAGTCAGCTATCTTGCAGTGCAAAGTGTCATTGACAAGTATGTTAGCGGCACGAAGGTCACGGTGGATATAGTTTTTCTTTTCAATGTACGCCATTCCCTCAGCTATCTGTCAAAAGAGAGAGAAAAGCGGACATGTCATTGAGACCATCCTCAAATCCCAATTTTCATGAATAATCTAAAACAAAGTGGATAGAAGCTTGAACACTACTGTATGTGTCTGTTTGTCCTTGCTGACATCTGCAGCATGTGTGCTCAGTCTAACAGGTGGGTTTGAAGCAGTTAGAGGGTTTAACAGGATGTGCCCATTATAAGAAAGTCTGTCAAAGGGGGCAAAAGAGTTCTTGCTGGGGGGAGAGGATGGGGAGTCAGTGTTGATGGAAAAATAGCACAGTTTCCTGTCCGGATGTTAATAATTGACGTAACACGATGCTTTCAAGCCAGTCGAGCAAAAGCTCCCCCACAGAAACCACAGAGCTACTGCTGACAGTTTCCATGTGTGTTCACACATCATAACCCGTGTCAGAGATTGTGATATGGTTTTGAAGATGTTCAAAGCATTACTGTAGAAAATATACAGTATAAATAGGCTTTGGGCTTAGAATAACTGCTAATCTATGCTATTTGAAGGAATGATGGCGAAGAACTAAAGCTTTAGGTTATAAGTAACTGCTCCGGTTATAGTAATAACGAAAGAATCACTAATAAAGGAAAAAAAAACACTCATAGGTTATCATTCGGAAGAAAACATTGTGTTTGATAAATCAAAGATTATGTATTTAAAACTCTCCCACCTGCGCTGACATATCGATCAACTTGTTAATTTTCAAATGTTTCCCTTCATCAGATTTTAGAAAGTCCAGGAGGCAGCCTGTAGGAGAGAAAAAAAGACAAACCCTGCAGTCAGTTAAAAGGAAGACTATTAAAAAGTCAAGTTGGTCACATTTTGTAGGAAGATTAATATAAGTTTATTATAAATTTATGTGTTGTATGTATTATTTATTGCTTTTGTATTTTACAGGAAATAATTTTTATTTACCTTGTGTCAAGATTTTAAAGATATGGTCTCACGTACTTTAAAACCACCAAGTGTACTAAAAAATCTCCCCAAAGTATTTAAACAAGTTTTAGGTTATGCAACTTTTCAATGAAATTGTACACAATAAACAGGAACCATGTTGTGACTTTGCAGTTTGTATAATACCTATAAATACATCAGTAACCAGTCAGTGATTGATGTACCTCCTTCTTTTCTGCACAATAAATGATCTGCACCTATGACTTCCATCATCTATAAAAATTCATTACGAATTGTTACAGAGGTGTATTGTGAGACTGCAGCTATACTGCGATCAACATACTTGTGATTTTAATGTGATAGGATATGCAGCCATTTAGATTAAGGCAAATATCTCAATAAGTCTGCAAAGTATTAGAGCTATTTTAGTAGTGCAACAAGATATTCTTTTACAAGCCTCTTGATTTTTCTTACCATTGACCATGAACTCAGTCACAATGAGAATGGGCTCCTTGGTGACCACAGCATGGAGTCGCACAAGCCGATCGTGCTGCAGCTGCTTCATGAGGTTAGCTTCCTGGAGAAAGGCCTCAGGCTCCATCGTTCCCTCTTTCATCGTCTTAATAGCAACTTTTTGGGTGTTCTTGTAGAAGCCTGCCAAAGAGATTCATGGAGATAAATTAATCCTCTACACTTATTAAAGCCTAATAAACCCCTTGCAGGATGAGATAGTTTTGTCTTACCCATCCAAACTTCTCCAAACTGCCCAGCACCCAGTTTCTTCACCATTTTCAGTGTCTCTCTGGGAATCTCCCATTCATCCTGAGCCCATGCCGTCGGAGGAGCCTTTGGTTTACAAGGAGCATACAGCCGTAGACACAACCCATCTGCTGTCCCTGCAATAAGTCACATTCTGATTGAAATATATTTTTCCCTCTCTTAAAACTGAAGATCAAATTAACAACTGAAAACTGTTTTGGTTTCCAGCTGTGACAGCTAAAAGCAAAGCTATGTTTGCTTGCATAAACGACTTTTATCACAAGCAGCTGTGCTTTGGCAACCATCAACTAGGCTTAGCCTTTTATCTTGTGGTTTAGTCACATGGGAGGAAAGACTATCAATATACACTGACAGGAAATGCAAGATGCATCTTGAGGGTCTTGCTTCCTGATTTAATTCAAACTCAAATTGAGATGTTACATTTTGTAGGAGAGAGAACTAAACACAGTTTGCAAGAATATTTTGTAAAGCTTTAAAATGCATTTAAAGGCAACACATTTAGAATATTTCATAGTAAACTTACGGGTATAGTACTTGACAAGCTCTTGTAATGATGGGAAGGTATTGGATGGGGAGATATAGTAACCACCTTTGTCCAGACAGCGAATCTTGTAGTGCTTTACCACATCTCCCTGTTCCCGGTCATTGTCTCTTACCGATAGCGAGTACGACCCTAAGGAGGGGATGGATACAAGAACGCAGAGGGCTTAGAGTTCTTTGAGTTTTAGAGGGCTTAGAGTTATTTTTCTTAACTGCTTAAAACCCAAGATTATTTAAACATATGTAAATATCTGGGTTATATTTAAACTTCCAAAGTCTCACCTTTACAGGTTTCACTCTCTCGAACAAGAAAGGAGCCCGGTTTATTACCAGGAGCGAGAAGCAGTCGTTCAGTCTCCCTTCGACTCAAGTCTTTGAAAAACCACCTTTAACAACGACAAAAATAACATATTTGTATGTTTTTCCTTTAAATACAAAATACAAAATGAAAGCAGTAAAGTAAGGATATGATATTTTAGAACACTCCCCTATTATTGGCCACTCTGATGTAAAACAATAAAAATAATATCTAAACACGGTGGCCTGAGATGCCAATTTGGGCTTTAAATATTTTGCTGCTAACGCTTTCAGTTATTTTAAACATTTAAAGGTGTTGCTTTGAGTACATGTAAAAGTAAGTTAAATTCCTAGCAGGAAGCTCTATATTTACGGTTAGGTTTACATTTAGGTTTTAATTTACCAGTATGTTTGCTCTGACTGGAAGATACGTTATTGCTTTGGATCTGCACACCAGAATGATTAGGATGTGACGGAAAATCTTCAGAGGGAACAAAAGATTGAGCTGCTGGTGGGAGAGGTGTGCAGACATCAAGCTTATAGCTGACAATTATTTGTCAAAATATCAGGAAGCAAATGAAAATCTAGGTAGCGCTCATAGGATAGATTCAAGTAATGTTATGTAGAAGTAAAAGATTTTCATATATATATCTCTATATAATATATAGAGATATATATTTTATAATTTTCCACATGCACTTATTTTTGTCAAAATGTCAACTAAAAGGTTGCATATATTTGATATATAATTGTTTCAAATCTATACTTCAGTTGCACTAACACATGGAAACATATATTTTATTTCCAATGAGAAATAAACATCTTGGCTTAATGAATTTCACTACATCTAAATCTGTCTGGAGTACCGATCATTTTGAGACAAACCACCTATTAAAAGGGGCATTTCCTATGTCTTCACCATGCTTATCAGCGACTTTAAAAATACGTCTGCACCACATTATTTTATAACCCAAAGAAACAGGAAGTCGTTGACTACTAATAAGAGGTTTCTAGAAACTTCGATAAGCTTAAAAAGAAATTTAACGTTTACAAATTGCTTCAGTTATATTTCCTTTAACTGTATTTAGAAATTACAATAATTGCCTCATAAATCAGTCAATATATATATATATATATATATATATATATATATATATATATATCTAGTATATATTTCACAATGTTGCTCCAAATTCCATATAAAAATAGGATTTTCCAAATTTTCTAGATAAAAATGTATTCTAAGGCTTTACACGTGTTTACCAGGGTTGCCAATATTCTTTGAGAGTGTTATATGTGATCTTGATTAATGAAAAAAAATATATATATATATATATCTTTTCCCATACTTCTCCACTTCCAGTGTATCTGCTCTGGCTACATAATTAGAAGGAATGAAGCCCTCTTGTTCAGTCAGAAGTGATTTAGCCAGCCACCATTCTCCACTCCTACGAAGAAAACATACGACACACATCATTTATGTTTTTTTCTTGAGGGTAAATGATTTCGGCACATTTCTTGAATTCTGAAACTGGGACGTCGCTTACTCTTGCAAGACCTTTAGCTTGTCTCCTTTTTTGAAAGCAAGATCACTCTCATTGGTGGCTTTGAAGTCATGCAGCGCGATGAACACATTTTCTTCTGAAAATCAAAGAACACCAATTTGTTTCTTTATCACTTTAGGTCTAAGCTACATATCATTTTTGAATACCAAATTCCTCACCAAACTTTTATTTTAAAGCAATAACTGCCCTTTTTAAAATCTGCTTGAAATGTCTTTCTTGTCCGTGTAGCCTTGTCTATCTTATTTCTAGCAGAGAACGAGTGAATTGTGGTTGCCATTTTGATCACACAGAACAAATATGTCTTACTGACCCTAATGTCTTGTTGACTGCAAGTACAGATCAAATACTTTTGGGAATAAATTCAATTTTCAGTGAAAATGTTTAGTGATTACCATTAGATGAATAGGTGTTTGTACTCCGTCCCTAAAAGAGAGAAGTGTTCCATTAATATAAGTATTATAACTTATGGTCTATTAGACAGATAAGCTTATTTTACTTACTGTATGGTTTGATGATTGGGATTTCTCAGAGGTTTTTACTTTGTAAAAAGTATTTTTATTCTCCTTTTCTTTCTGGCCACTGCAAGTGCAGCCCATCCTGGGATTACAAAATAAGAGCATATAAACTGTGGTGTAGGACAACTGCAACATGAGCTGATAGGATACATCATAGAGGGGTTAATATTATAACAGCATCACCCATATAAGCTCATGAGACATGATGAACTATTGTTTTTCCTTTACCTGATTTAGCCGATGAGCTTTTGGATTTTTCAGTCTCCACTCATCCCTCTGCAGGCCCAAGTCTTTGACCTCATACCAAATCTGAAAAACAAACAGAAAAAGAAAATCATGAAAATCTGCTAATTTACAAGAATTAGTAATTATTTTCATTTTTATTTCTTAGTAACCAGTCTTCAGATGAAACCCAACAATTCAGAAAAAAGGAAGTTGAAAACTCTCTCGCACCTATGCTTAGTATCACTTTATCATCGTGTATCTCTCATGTCTGAGATAAAAATAGAGAAAAGATAAAATGCTAAAAGCTGATGGAAAATAACTCTTCTTATCTAGATTAGTGGAGGAGCGTAACATTTTGTTCCAGGCCTAATCATGTTTCCAGGTTCTTTGTTAAGATGTTTGAAGTGATAATTAATGCAATGATGGGATTCAAACTTTTGGACTGTGAAAATTGAAAAAACTCAAAGAGACTATCGATTTTCTTTCCATTAACTTACAGTTACAGCTCTGTAATTGTAAAAACCACGTCTAGCTTTCGTCAACCAGAAAATTAAACATAAAACATTTAACTAGCTGTACAAATAAATCTCTTGTGAAAGTCACCTTAAAAAAAATCTATTAATGCTTTGACAATATTTATTTTATAGGTGAAGTTTTTTTTCATGAAATACAGGTTCAACGGAAGAACTACAAAACGTGTGATAATGTTGATACATACACTGATGCGTGTATTTTACCTTAAAGTGTTTTCCCTCCAAATTTTTGCTACTTGTTACTTGCCACCTTATATCATGTTATCGCCTCTATCACTTTGTGATGCATAAGTTTAACATTTAGTTGCATTATTTTCTGTAATTCTCTTAGAAAATGCATGAAGGATGCTGCTTTATAATTGCAATGCACAACAATTCTTACAGACGTATTTCTTATGCTTCTGATTTTAAGAAAAATAACAAAGGAGGTAAATACCTTCAGTTTGTCATCAGAAGTAACCCAGATGCAAAATGTCCTCAGTTTCTTTGGTGAAAACAGACAGCTTGTCAGTTTGTCACTCTCACTCACTCTGGTTTGGAAAGTTTCTCTCTATCTATCTCTCTGTCTCTCTCTCTCTTTCTCTCTCTCTCTCTCTCTCTCTCTCTTCCTGCTTCTCTCTCCCTCTCTTACACAGTCACCTCCCCATGGGACAGTAGTACCAAGGTTACTGGAAAACATGCAAAAGTATAGGTTGTACAGTAATTATCTTCTGGCATGCTAAATTTATTTAAGCCCTTTATCCTCTAAGTGAATACTACAAACGACTTCATCCTCAACTGCAGCATTCACCAAGCTGTATTGATCGTAGATTTTTTGAGCTTTGCTCGAAATCAGATAAACACCGTCTGTACCTAAGATTATGTCTAAAGCCGAACCATAACTTTGTTGTACCCGCTTTGCTTTTATACCTACTTGGTCTCGACTTTAGGTGTGGTGAGTAAAACAAGCTGCATGGTTTCCATGACACATTTTTCAGTTCCTCTATTGGTCGGTGCTTTTTATCTCTACAGTACATCTTACAAACTAAGCAAACCATGTCTGCTTGCACTCTACTGTAGGGCTATCGGGGCATTTCAAGACAAAATAAGGAAGTAGACCTGTCTTTTTTTTTTTTTGATTTGTTTATTTGAGGTGACTATTATTAGTAATGGAATAATTGCAAAAAAAAAAAAGGTTTTTGACTCAGTGAGATAAGAAATCATAAATATTTGCAGTCATAGCAAAAAAGTTATGCATCCTCTTTCATTTTTATGTATTTTAGGAACTTGATCTTATTCAGTAAACATTTCGGAAGTGATAAAATGACCTTAGCTGTTTTCAGTTAAAATAACTGTTATCATCAACCTCTAACATAGATCTAAAATAGACCTTTCGACAAAACCCTGTAGATTCTACTTTAGCTTTTCAATAAGGCTTAACTGCCTGAGAGCGATTGCCGTCCTAGTGTATTATGTCTGTATATCCAACCTTTTACTGTCCCCAAAAAAAATTGTCTAACATTTTATTTGAGGATACTTTGGTATGGAGGAGGAATCTTAAAAAACTACAAGGTAGCCAGATCTCTAGAGGCAAATCATCCCACCTCCATTTCTGTGCAAGGCAGATGGTTCGGTATTTTGTGTTTTGATTTATAGATTCTACGGTAGTATTCACATCAACTAAGTGGTTAACCCTTTTGCCTTTTAATGACTTGACATATTATTTATATAATTTGGACTTTGAGTAATCGACTGAGAAGTGTATTTGGAGTCATTTTCATGTGTTGCCTATTTTGTTTTTACAAATAAAAATCTTACAAGTGTGGCAGACTTCTCTATTCAGTCTTTTTTGCAGCTCAAAGTCTTTAAATGTTTATTATATATGAATTTAGAAAGTTTAATATTGCGTATCCTTCCATGCCAAGCAGTTCAAGTCTAGTCAAAATGAATGGAGATGCTATGAAGAGACATTAACAGATTAGAAAATGGCTTAAGGTCAGTTTTTCTAAGTAGACTCTTATTTTTTGTGTTCCTATGGGTTCTGTATCTGGCTATATAATAATACTAACAATAATCATCTTTATTTATCATTAACTTTGCACATTACAACAAAATCTCTAGTTTGCATTTGACCAAATGCACATAACCGTTACCACTGTACAACTTCTGTGGAGCATCCTTTGCTTTTTGCTCAGGAAACAGAAGTACCTGTCTGTGGGATTTCAATCAGGGAACCTGCAGCCTTCTCAGGATGCAAGTGTTCAGCTTTAAATCACTCCCTAACAATAGTTAGGTAACTTATAAAAAAAGCTGCACTCATCAATTTATGTTTTATTTTATTTAGAAGACATCCATCCATCCATTTTCTTTACACACTTGTCCCGAGTGGGGTCACGAGGGGTGCTGGTGCCTATCTCCAGCAGTCAATGGGCAAGAGGCAGGGTACATCCTGGACAGGTCACCAGTCCATCGCAGGGCAACACAGAGACACACAACCATTCATGCACACACTCACACCTAAGGACAATTTAGAGAAGCCAATTAACCTCATGTTTTTGGACTGTGGGAGGAAGCCGGAGTACCCAGAGAGAACCCACGCATGCTCAGGGAGAACATGCAAACTCCATGCAGAAAGACCCCAGGAATCGAACACAGAACCTTCTTGCTGCAAGGCAGCAGAGCTACCCACTGTGCCACTGGGCAGCCCTATTTAGAAGAAGAAAATAACAAAGTGTTTCTCCCATTAGGTCAACCATTTGCTTAATTCTAAGCCTTAAACCAGACTCTATCATGCCTATACTGTAAATGTGCACCTTGTAAAAATCTGAAAAATTATTTTTGTTTTTGATCTGACTCTGTTTGATGAGTTTATTTACATGTATATTTAAAAACTGGATATTTATATTTTAAAGCTGGATAGAGGTGAAAAGCACATTTCATTATGCGTTGTATTGTATGTGACAAATAATGCTGATCTAATCCATTATTTATCTTAGATTAGCCTTAGCAGCCACTTCTCTTTCACTTTCAGATGGTCTTATTTGATTTTGAACTTAAAATATTGACTTTTTGTAATAGGTTCATAAATTAAAATCTTTAAATTTTAAATCAAACTACAAGCTGCTTCAGTTCTTGTACCAGAGCTCACCCTTGCTGTGGGAATCTGAATTGCTAATGATCCAATGTATCACACTTTAAATTAGTTTTGGCTTAGACTTTGGTTGATAAAGTTTATTAGATAATTTGTGTTGTTTATCTAAGGCTGAATTTATCTTATTTCTGACCTAATCAGAGCATAATATTTTCCTCATGTTATGGAAAACAAATTTGTAAATAAAAACGGTTGTGTCTACTTTTCACCTCAAGGGTATTTTATTATACAACAAATTAACTGGTAACAGTTACCTATTAGTCTTTTTTTTAGTAGCTGTTGTTGTTAGTTTTGACACTAGGGGGTGTAAAGGCCCATGCATCAAACCCTTCTGGAGGATATTGCCTTTACAATTCCGGAAATCTTTCATTTTCTCTTCATAACCAACTCTTACTGTGACCTCATTCAGAAACATGTTTCTAATAGGGGTGGGCCTTGGGGATTTGTATTGTGTTTTGCATCTACATCTGCATTTAAAGAGGTGGAAAAGTGGAGATGTGAATGTAGTTGCATAGTCAGACAAATTCTAGGGAAAAAAGCAAACCAGCGTGTGGTCAATCTATCAAAGCATAACAATGCTTAGGATTTTTTTTTTTACTCTATACAACAGAGCTAAGCAGCTCTTTCCTTTTCTCACTACACAATACACAGAAGAGGGAATTCTCACCTCTTCTTCAGTGAGACAATGAACACAACAGAGCACGTCCTGGAGGTACATGTCAGTAATAATGAGGCTATAATATGTCCATATCATTGGTAACTTACTGTGGAAAGCTGTTAAGAATGACTCAGAGCACATTGTGAGGAAGGTACCATTCACATTACACTGTAACCTGTAAGTGCATGGGTGAATAAATCTTGCAGCACTGGAAGTGTGTGTTTCCTATGGGGGGGCTTAATACAACACACAACGTGGAGATATTACTCTCTGGGCAACACTTCACAGGTTTTTGTTTGGACCACCTGTGCCGTGCATGGGGACTGTGTGGCACTTTAGTTCTTTGACGAAACAACCTCACTCGGACACACACACATACACTTACACACAGGCGCACAGAGGCTGCAGGTGCACGGTTAGTGTTATTGAGTGCGTCCTGGTTCCTAACTGTTGTTCCTCTTTAAACTCCTTTCTTCTAGTTTTTCCATCAGCCCTTGTTTTCTTCCCAGGGCTTGGCGGATGCTTGTGTACTGCTCTGTTGGGGTCCCCAGACATTGCATCCTGCTTGCAGAAGGGTCATAAGTGGCCCCACAGGATAACCTGAACAACAGTGGGAAAGAAAGGGAGCGTGGGTCTCTTCTGGTAATGTAGTTCTGACCAGCTCTGTGCCAAAGGCATACAAATGCTGCCAACTGCTTCTTGCAATTCCCATTATCATTGCAAGCGTGCACTATATGAACTGAAAACGTCTGTGCATGTTAACAACTGTGTGTGTGTGTGTGTGTGTGTGTGTGGGGGGGGGGGGGGGGGGGGGGTTGTGATAGTGTTATGCAAAGACATGCAAAGATAAACATTTGAAGGAAGCAATGCAGTCAGTTACTTTATTAAAGGTTTGATTTATTCACGGTCACTCTGTAAACAAGGACACACACGTTTTTCTTAAGTTTGATCCCCCTTAGCATCGCAAGAGGCCTCCTTTTGACTTCCTGTCTGTGTGGGAACCATTTCTATCTTCTGTCACACATGAAGTGTGAGGTTTTGTTTCTCTGTTTGCCATAAAAAGCCTCAGTGATAGACAATAAAAGCAACAATCGAGCTCCACATTTCAATGGACTTGCACTACTGTTGTCCCCAGGGAGAGAAGCTACATTTAGAAGAAACATCATTTTCTTTTAGTATAATATAAGCAGCTGTTTTGAAGCATGTTTTGTATATTTTACCAAATAAAGTTTATTGCTTCAAAAAATATTGATAAAATCAACCATACAAAATGGTCCTACTAACGTAAATTTATTACTAACGTATATTTATTTTGCCAGCCACTGTAAGGTTTAACCTAGGCCACCTACAAGCAACACAAATGTGTCAGTTAAGTGTGTTAAATGTATTCAAGTACAATGTTATGATTCATAAGAGCAAATATTAAACTTTAGGTGATTATGCAATATTAGGCTGAAAATCTTGCTTTTCTAACTGCAGCTTTAAAACTTCCCTTCACAGTGAATCTGGTTGCAATTATTGTTAAAGTGGGGTTTTGACCCATCTTAAATGCACTCTGATCTTTCGTTCTTTTCATAGATTTTTAATTGGAATCAATTCTGATGAATGGCAAGGCCACTCTCTAAAAGCTATCAGAGAATATCCTCAGCTGATTTTTGAGTTAATTCTCTTTCTAGGAAACCTTCCCCGGTTTTATCCTAAAGTTGTTATAATGAATGTCTTGATGCACTTCTCCATTCATCTTTCTTCTCATTACATGACATTTGTACAAAACATATTTAGAAAATATGCATTTTTCTTTTTTAGGCAAAGTATTGAATGTGTTTTAGTCTGTATCTTCTTGGAGATCAGTTCACTTGAATCTTTGTTGAAATATAATTATTTCTACTTCCAGATTTTGGTTGCATAAGTGGTTTCAGGAATTTTCAGAAGAATAGAAATACGTCTGTAACCAGAACCATCAGTTTGTTCTGATGCAAGAGAGAGTGCCTTACTCTTGACTTGCAGGATTACATTCTTTACCATCAATTCATTACATATCAAAGGAAAGCATTAATTTTTTTTCCTAAATTTTAAAGACTTATTAATGTTTATGGATTTCTGTATTTAGTTTTCTTTATTTTTTCAAAATATTTGTCATATGCCATTCCACCTTATTACATTGTATAGAACTGCACTAATTGCTGCCTATATTTTCGGATGATGTTTCTTCTTTTTTTTTGCAGGTGAACTTGGGTTATTGCAGACATCTATGTTAAATGTTTAATCAATAAACCCTTTCAAATATATTTTGGAAAATGTTGGAATATTTCCATATTATTATGACATATTCTGATTATTAGGTTGTATGTGTTTTGTATATTAGTGTTTTTATTACATTCATTACATAAATCTAGGAAATTTCTACAATAAAGTTGGAGAGATTCATGCAATCTTGGTTTGAAACATCCCTGCCATTTCTCCCTGCAGCTCTAGTTGGAAGCAAGTTTCTGCAGCTGCTCCACAGGCAAGTGGCTGTGAGGTAAACATGGCTGCGGGAAAGCCCCATATTATTGTGCTCCGGATGACGTTCCTCACTCTTCCAGTGTTTACTGTGGAAATTACTGCCAACTGCCAGCAAGCAGGTGCTTCCTCCTTTATTTGCTTATCCAAAAGCTTTAAAGATTGAATTAAAATCAAAGTGTCGAACTTTCCGGCAGCTTTTTTTTTTCTTTTTTTTTTCACACCTAAAACTCAGATTGTTTAATAGTTTTCCTCATGGTTTTTATACCTTTTCATTAACAAAGTAGGACATTCAATAAGGTGTATGCTCTGACATCAGACTTAATTTTTCTGTGAATTTAAGTCAATATTTGCATGTTTGGGTGTCTAGTTTGCTGTGTACATTTAAAGCTCTTGTTCTGCACAGAAATATTTAATAAGCACTTCAATGCATCTAGCACTTAATTTATAATATTTCTGTGTGAAGATATATACAAATATCTTCACACAGAGGGAAAAAAGGTAATTGGAATAAATAATAAGAACTACCATATAGTTATAAAAACTGTATGGTTGAGTGTATTTGTCTCCGTGAATCCATGTGATAGATGGACAGTTGGATTATTTCTTGGCCACTTGGGGGCAGAACAAATCTGACACAAAGGTCTGACCTGAGCTGCTAGCTGTTTTGATTATAACTGTTTTGTAGCTAAAGAAACCTTTTTTCTTCTTTTGGAAATGCTAAAAAGAAATATGATGATAAGATTTTTAGGTGCAATTATAGCTGATAGTTGTGAAAAATCTGGATAACATGGAAAATTCTGGATCGTTTCTTTTCTACTTGACATTTGACATCTACTTGTCTTGTCATATTGCTTCCTATCTTGTCATGTGTGTTGGTGTTTAGTAAAAAAGAAAGATCTTACGCAGATCTCAGCATCAGGAAATAAGAAGATTTTGATATCTTCATAGTATGTGTTTAACATCCTGTGATAGCTCCATCTATACGATTGTTGTAGTGCTGCTTGGGTCAATGGGCGGGAAAGTTGCAAAACCTTTCATTTCAGAACAATATTATTTATTTATTTACCCTTCATATATAGGTTTTGTTTTTCTTGTTTTTACATATAACAGTCTGGCATAATCACTTTACATGTGCTACAATATGTGCTATGATTTATTATCTTTAAAATCAAACACCTAGCAGATGTAGTTTAAATACTATTAAAGGTGCTAAACTTAACTCCAGCAAGGAGCAGACTTCCCACTGTTGTGTTAAGCAGTCAGTCAGAGAGAGACACCAATTAACTGTGTCACATGACCACATGAGACTTTAACGAGAAAGCGTGGGAAGGGCACATACATCAACTCTGTCTGGGGTTCACTACACAAAGACAATAAAGGAATCCTCCATGGAGAGTCTGATACCATTCTAGTCGCCATACTACAAGTTAAATAATGATGAATGTAATATCTTTCAGAAATTTGTTTGATAGATTGTTACATAAAGTAAACTATGTGGTTGGCAGTAGACCAGATTCATAACAATAATATCAGTTTAATATTATGATCCAAGAAGCAACCATTTAGAAAATCTCATCCAAAAAAGCCTGTTTTATGGAATCGCATTTACATTTTTACTTAGCATTTAACCAGAGATTGTCTAAAACAGCGCAGTTTATGTATAATATAAACAATAGCAAGTTACTGGTGCATATTGAGGGACTGTTTCAAAAACGAGACAAGTGCAAAGCAGCCTTGTGTGTCTTTTGTTGGGATTAATATATGGATTGGGAAGCTGAAAGAGCTAAAAGACTGTAAAACTTTGCATAACACAAAACAAGCTTTTCCTTCCGCCTATTCTATTTTAGACTATGTGTATATGTGTATTGTCTGAATAAAATATGTCAAATGTAAAAAAAAAAGAAAAAAAGTTTAAAATACATTTTGTATTTTAGTATAAATCTAGCCTACACTGGATTGTGTTATGTTGCATTTCATTTCTGTGTGTTTGCCCATTTAAAAAAAAGGAAAACATCAGATGTAATCTTCATACCTTGAATGTCTAAAATGACAAAAAAATGAACAAAAACATAATTGTTTGAATTTATTTTATTTTTCAAGATAATACAGTTTCCGATAGTTCTGCTGCACACTCAGCCAATGCTTACAAATAATAATGTTCTTCCTTGTTGAGAAAAACGGCTGCAAAATCTAAGACAGAAGGAAATCCTAGTGTGTGTCTTGATATAATAAAACAAGCATTGTTCCCTGACAATTTTGAAATAAACATGTCTGATGAAATTCTATGGGTTTCAAGATTCTTCCTCGGAATATAACCTGTCAATGTTGTTAATGACTAGAAAATATATAGCTTAATAGATATATTTTAGGCAAAATACAACCAAATATAATTTAATCCTACAACACATTGTAATCATTCACATAATAGATTCACTACAGTTATGCAAACCTACTGCATACAGAGTATATTCAAGTATTTCAGATTCTTTTTAATGCAAATTGTTAAGAAGTTATTCGGAAGTAACGTTTCAGCATTTTATATTCTACAAAGTGCATTAAATGTTTGTTCTTTGAATATGTTGAGCTACTGATACAAATATAAGGAGATATGAATCAATAAATGTTGCTATTATCCTGTTCACTAATAAATATCCAGATGATTTATAATTTGAAGCAATTTAGCAAAATCTCTTAATCAATCAAAACTTTGATTCAATGCTAGGGACATCACCCTGGTCGTGAATTTCAGTCTCAGAATCCTCAATATCAGCATATGCACCATCCTCCGATTCAGCTCTCTCTTTCATTAAAGCCTCTAGCGGATCAAGTAAAGTTTTCTTGGCATCTTTCTTAGTTGTGTCTAGGTTCTCCAGCTTGTCCGCAACAAAAGGCTTCTTTCTATCGATAAGGTCTTCTTCAGGTTCTGAGTCTTCCTCAGCCTCGTCTTCGCCATCAGCTGAGTCTCCTAAGCTTCCATTCCAGCCTTCATGAGGTGTGTCAGTATCTTCATCTTCCTTTTCATAATCCTTAATGCTTTTTTGGTCAGTCTTTCTATTAAGGGTGCTGCTCTTCTTCTCTTCAGACTCAATACATTTTGGTTCCTTTTCTTCTACAGATCCATCTTCTTCTTCATCTGTAGCTTCTTCACTATAAGCTTTATCTAAAGCATCTTCTTCATCCTTAGATCTGGATTTTTCTCCATTATTAGTTTCTATGCCCTTGCTGCCAAATTTTTCAATTTTGCTTGAATCTTCAACTGTGGTTTTATTATCTTCATGTGCTTTAGAGATAGCCTCTGAGAAATGTTCCTGCTTGGACTCAGATTCACTTTCATTTGCAAATGATTCAGATTCCTCAGGACATGTTCCAACATTTGATGTGTCATCCTTTATGCTTTGGTTTTCCGCAGTGCTGTCTTCCATTTTTCTTGATGACAAAAGTCCTTTGGCCAATAACAATTGTTCAACAGGTTCAACATGACCTAAAGACTCTTTTTCATCAGTGTATTCTTGTGAAGTCTCATCTAAAATCTCATCGTTACACTTGGCCTCTAAATTCTTGTCTCCCAAATCATCATAACCTTTAACTGTGGATGTGTCTTCTTGACCTGCTGTTTCATCTGTATCTTCTCCTAAATTGTTGTCAGAATTTTCATCATCTGTGGCTGATATGCTACCTTCCTCCTCTGATTCATTTTCAGTCACAGCCTTGGAGCTGCTTTCAGTTGTAGATCCTTGGTCAGTATCTCCAGAAACATCATGATTATCACCATCTCTTCTTTTTTCTGGCTCTTTTTCATTCAAAGCGTTATAGGCTTTGTTGATTTTGTGTTTTGTCTCTGTAGCTGAAGTTTCATCATTTGAAAGGGCATCTGCAGAATCACTCTTGCTTTGACCTGTATCTTCCTCCTCAGTATCAGTACCATCCATGGTATTCTCTTCTTTTAACCTATCTTCTTTCTCCTTATTAGGTTCATCTTCTGTTTCAGATTCCTGTTTACCTGTGGCTCCTCCCACTGCATCCTTATCAGATTCATGTGTCGCATCTGTATCAATCTTGTTTTCTTCACTGTCATTTGCTGTTTCACTTGTAAGAGCCAAAGCAAGTCTATTTTTTACTTTGAAAGACTCTTCTTCACAACTGAAAGCCTCTTCCTCTTCTGCATTGTCAATTTTTTCAGATTGTTGTTCACTTGTTGCAGTCACTGTTGCTTCATCCCCAGCCTGCTTGTATTTTTTGTTTTCATTTTCAGGCTGTTTAATTGAGAGTTCACCACAAATGCCATCATTCTCCTCTGCACTTTCATCATCATCGTCATCATCATCATCATCTGTGGTAATGTCATTTACGTCTTCGGCAGAATCACTTTCACCAGCAGTGCCAGTTTGTTCTCCGTCATCAATTGTTCTTTCGTCTTCACTAACTTCATTTTCTGTCCCCTCTGCTGCAGTTTCATCTTTTGCAATCTGATCCTTTGATTTTCCATTTTGTCTAAGAGCTGTCTCTTCCTCTGAGATATTCTCATCCCCAGTGGTTGTTCCTTTATTCTGTTCTTCTGATGTTTCATCCTCTGTTGATGAATCCCTGTTTCCATCTGATTCATTTGCACTAACGGCAGGAAGATTCTCTTCATCTGTGCCTGTTCCTTCTTCCCCTTCTGCACCTTTTTCAGATTTATGTTTGCTTGCAGCTCTCTTAGTTTCCTTAGTTTTATCTCCACTTTTAGTTAAAGAACCCCTGTAAACCTGTGCAGCAGGCACTTCATTTTCTGTTGTGTCTTCTTCATCAGACTCTGACTCAGCTGCTTCATTCTCATCTGGGGAATCGCCTGAATTGACAGGAGAAATTGTATGTTCTCCACTGACAATGCTCTTTTCCTTAACCTCTTCTCTTTCAGATGTTTGAACCTCTGGTTTTGCCTCACCTTTCTCTTTTCTGTTCTCATACAGTGCGGCAGGGATTTGGCTTTTTTTCAATTCTGCTTCTCTTTTAACGGAAAGCTCATCCTCAGTTTCTTCTTCCTCCTGTATACTTGACAGATCATCAAATGTTGCCTCTTCTTCATCCTCAGTTTCATTTCCATCACTGGTACCACCTGACTCCCCCACAGAGTCATGGTCACTGGTGGTACCAGTACCCTCGCTTGCTTCTTCCGTGTCAGATTTCTGCTCTGTTAAGGTTACCACAGTCTTATCTTTCTCACATTCATGTCCACTTGTGGTTATTGAGGATGTTTCTATGGCTGCTTTTTCATCTTCTGATAACGCCGCATTAGATGTAATCTCTGAGAGACTCTCCTTGTCTATTTCAACCTCCTTTTCTTTGTTGGACTTGACATCAGTCATTTGTGCTACACTAACCTCAAATGCTGGGTGTTTATCCACAGCCTCACCGTGGTCAGCCTCTTCTGATGACCTATTCTTAATTAATACTTTAGTTTCTTGTTCAGCAGTCATTTTGGCTTCACTGTCTTCTTCTTCTGACTGGTCACTTTCATTAATAGTAACTTTTTCGTTATTTGCTGCATCTGTTGTTGACTGTTGCTTCATTTTGCCCTGAAGAACTATTCGCACTGATGGAAGCAATTTCCTCTTCAACTTTGACCAGTCCTTCTTTGCTCCTTCACGGTCTGCTTCCAATTTCTCTGATGATGCTTCTTTCACTAAAACATATCTTTCTTCTTGTTCTGACTCTTCTTCATTTAGGACTTCAGTGTTTGAAAAAGCAACAGATTTTTCAGATTCTACTTCTCGTATTGCTCCAACAATAACTTGCTCTACAAGTGTTTTTACTTTTGTGTCCTTATCATTTACATGTGGATCTGCCCCATCAGCTGTGGTTTTCATCAGCAGAATCCTCTTCAGGTCGTAGTCAATAGCAACAGGTGCAGTTCTCTTGACTTCCACTGAAAGAGGTTGTCTGGAATTTACATTTTTCTCCATACAAGTTTCACAGGGACAATATTCATCAATATTGTCCGCTCGCTGGTCACTGTAGGATGTTCCTGTTGTGGAATCACTTTTTTCAGCCTGTGAATCCGTAGACTGTAGCTTGATCTTAAGCCTCTGTCTCCTTTCTTCAGTTTGTTTAGTTGAAACTCTGGATATCGCCTCAGTAGGAGGTCTTGGTAACCCTACTCTGCCTTGAATTTTCCTTATTTCCTTGTCAATGCTTGTTTGAATTTTATTTTGAACCTCTATTTTAAGTTCATCTATCATCTTGTCAAGCTGATCAGTATCTTCTAGGCTCCATCGCAATTTCAATTCTTTCATTGCACTTAAATAATGTGTCATAAACTGCTTTTCTATTTTATTTAGCAAGGTTAGCACCCAAACAGGGTCCGGATCTTGAGACAGTTTCCTGGAGAGGTTTTTATCATTACCGCTTGACTCTCCAGAACTTTTGCTTGAGGATGCTGGTGTTTCAGGAGGTTCTCCTGGACTATCATTGCTTGTTATTGTTTCATCTGTGGCTGAATCCTCCTCTTCCTGCTCTGCTTTTTCTGCATCCTGTTTCCACTTGGTACTTGTTTCAGTGTGTGCTTTCTCCATTGTGATCAAACTGTTCTGAGTTTGAGATCCATCGACATTCGGTTCGCTACAGCTTTTTACTCCATCACTACTCTTCCCCGAACCGGTGGATCCACTGTTTACATCCACACCAGAGGAAGAGGTGTGATTATGCTCCCCCTCAAGAGAATTATGATTGTTCATATTTGGGGCATGTTTCTTTTCATCAGGGTTGGAAAGCCATAGAGACTGAAGAATACTCATAAGCTCCTGGTATCTTTCATCCTTTTCATTTGCATTCTCAGGGTCATGTTGTATTAAACGCAGCTTTACAAGGCAATCTAAGAGACCTTTAGCTGATGTACTTAACTTACGCCCATGCACAGGTGAGATTTCTGGTAAACTGTTGCATCTGTCAAGCTTAGGGTTTAAAAGTACTTTCATAACTTGTATGGAGTTAAACATTTTTGAGCCGTCTCCTCTATGAGTAGAACTGCTCTCTTCTTTTGGTGCCTCTGTGCTTGTTTTGCAGTCCTCTTTTTGGAATTCAATGGGACAATTGGCTTCTTTTAAAATTTGAGCATCAGACTTATTTTTCTCAGCATCATCTTCTCCATTGTCTCTCTCAGCTGCACCAATATCTTTTACACTATCGTCATTTTCATGAAGTTCCTCCATCTCATAATGGTCTCTGTCTGTTGGTAGGGTTTTCAGCCATTCATTTACCACCTCGGTGGGGGATGCATTTGGTAAGATGGATGGAACCAGCTCAAAGTCACCATTATCCATGTCATTTTTCCTGTCTTTGCTGCCTTTATTACTTTTATTAGAGACAGCTTCTGTGGCGTCCATTGCACTATTTGCTTTCCTTTTTGAACCATGAGATCTGGATTCTCCAGGGGACGAATTTTCACAAATTTCTTTCATAATTTCTGAACCAGACAGGGTTTGGGACAGGTCACTTTCAGCTGAATCTGTATGGCATACTACTGGATGTCTATTTGGACAAATGCCTTCATCTCCAGCAACCTGCCCTCTTGAGGCATTGGTTCTAGAACTCTTCCCTGTATTCTCCGAAACAGTGATGGCAGTGGACACATTTGTTACATTGGTCTTTTTAGACTTAACAGACAAATGTGAGTGCACACTCAAAGAGCTTTGTGAGTTTCTTGCCCGTTTTACTCCTTGTTTCTTAGAAGTTCTCGACTTTTTTGAACTCCCAGATGCTTTGGAATTTGACGACAAAACAGTAGGAGATCTCTCCTCTGTTTCTTCAATTGTTACAGAGGGGACTTCAGATCTACTTAATGCTTCAGAGAAATCTGATTTTGTTGACACAGGACTTTGTGTGGCATTGGATCTCCTTAAAGCATCTTCGTTATTGTGAGCTTCAGATTGCTGAGTATAAGGATCCATTAATATGTTTGATTTTGCGTCTGACGTTAAATCATCAGTGTCTTCATCACCAGTCCCCTTCCCAGGAGTGATGCAAGATCTGTTGGACTGTGTGGTTCTTAAAGAAGCATCAGACATTACTGAAGACACAATGTGAGTCCTCTCTGATGGATCTGCTTCTTTGGCCATCTGTGAATGTGAGGCTTTGGATTTTGTGGAGACCGATGATACTGTTGTTTTTACTGATTTAGCAGAAATAGGACTCGAAGGTTTCATCTCAGTGTTCTGCTCTGTGCTTTCATCAGTGACATTGACATTTTTAGGTGAAACATTGAAAGTTTCAGAAGAGTTTGATCTACCACCTGAATGCCTTGATGTTGTTGATTTGATGGAGGAATTACTACTTGTGCAGTTCATGTTTTCTACATGATTTCTTTTGGCTGATTTATCAGATGTTTGTAATTTACAAGACTTTGTACTTATGCTGGACCTTGTTGACTTGGCAGATTTTTCTGATAAAGTGCTGGGTGGTCTTTGAGCTATTTCTTGTCCCTTTAACATGTTGTCCACCATTGTAACTTTGCATGGTGTGTTTGTTGGTTCTCTGCCCAAACTTTCTTCTCTGGAGTTTCCTTTACCTAACCTCCCCCTCAGTGATCTCTTGGATTGTGTTGAAGCGACTGATTTAAGAGATCTGTCAGAACCAGTACTGTCTGCCCTCTCTGCAACACTGTTAGTTTCTGCAACATGGTGTTCAGCTGGTTCTCCATCAACATTTAAGCCATGATGACTAGAGGCCTTAGATCCAATGGCTCTTTCAGATACATTAGAGCAACTTGTTTTAATTGATGTGCAACTTTCAGCTCTATCTTGTACTGTTTCTTCACGGTAGTCCACGCCGGGAGTATCCGTTCCCTGAGTAGTTGCATCATCAGAACACCTGGAGTTTTTTGAATGACGAGAAACAGCTGACTCGGTCATCCTGAATGGTGATAAGTGTCCTTCCCCTTCAATGTCTAAAGCACCAATGTTTGTTCCATGTTCAGATAGGGTGTTAGAAGCTTTTGATTTTGTAGATTTTACAGAAACATTTGATGGAATTGACTTTGCTGATATTACTGACAAATCACTCATTGATCCTTCTGTTTGAGCAGCTGACATCTTTGACTTTTTTGACTTTGTGGATGCTGCACTCTCTGATCTGTCATGAGAGGCTTTCTTATGTACTTTATCCAATATTGGATTATTATCAGAAAACACTCCAGAGCTATTTGACTTTATAGAAATGGTTGAAGCTGGTGAGCTTGGTCTGCTGACAATTTCTTGAACAGGGATATCAGTTGAGCATTTTGACATACCAGATCTTGACGAAATATCTGACTTGGCAGAATTGATGGTCATTGAACTTGCTGATCTACTTTCAGTAAACTCCTCTGTACCATTATCTTCGTTAAAACTTTTAGTATTTGTATCGCAACTAAAAGCAGTGGCTTTTGATTTCTGGGATACTTCAGTGACATTTGATTTTGCTGAAGTCGTTGATCGAGCAGAGGTACCGCTTGGGTGTCTAACTTTATTTTCTCTTCCATCTTCGGCTGAACATTCATGTTCTTTTACTTTAGCAGATTTTGTAGAAGTAGTTGACTTTGCAGTTTTAGAGGATTGGACACTGTTTGGTCTTTGCTGACTTTCACTCCTTTTGTCATACATTTCAATAGTTTTTCCAGGTGTTGCATCAGAAATATTTGATTGAACTGACTTTGCTGAAATGTGTGATTTAATGGATGATGCACTTAGTACTCTGTCAAAAGACTTGGCAGATTTCTCAGAAACAAGTGAGATGACTGATTTAGCTGAAGTGCTGCTTGGAGGTCTTTTATAACTTTCAATATTGTCACTGTCAATCCTTTCGCTTTGTGACTTAACTGACCTAGTAGATGCTACACTTATAATGCTTCCTTCACTGTCCTCTTCAACAACTGTTACATCACAATTGTCAGCATGGTTTTCTAACTGAACATCAGAAACTTGTGATCTTTTAGATACATTTGATTTTACTGATCTGCCTGATTTCACTGACAGATTACTGGACGGTCTCGCTGTGTGTTTCTCATAATCCAGTGGGGTCGATTCATTTGCTGAATTAGTAGATTTGACTGAGATGACACTAGGTGTTCTCTCCTCATCTTCACTGTTTAACTCATCAAGAGGACCAGCCTTTGTGGACATTACTTCAGAAGTATTTGTTATGGTTGATATCACTGAAGCAAGTGACCTTTCTGACAAAGCACTTGCTGTTCTTTTTTCAGACTTGAAAGAAGTTTTGGAAGCACTTGACTGGACAGAACAGGTTGACATGCTGCTTGATGCTCTTTTTATATTTGTCTCTTCATTATTGTCGCTGTCTGAAATATCAACACTTTCTCTGGCTGGGACATCAGAGCATTTTAAAGTATTTGATTTTACTGATAGGTTTGATTTAACTGACTGAGGTGATAGAGGTTTACTTTTCTTGCCATTTCCAGCTGCTCTTTCTTCTTGAGTGACTGCTGCATTTTCCAAGCAAACTTTGGAAGGTTTCAGTCTTTGGCATCCCTTGGAGGCATTTGATTTTGTTGATTTTTCTGATTTGGCTGACAGATTGCTTAGGGTTTCCACATCTTCATAATCACCAACCATATTTTCATCTGCTTGATGATCCGATCTATTTGATTTTGATGATTTAGCACAGCTTGCTGACCGTTCAGAACTCAATTTTACAGATTTTCCTGATAAAGACCTTGGTGTTCTTTCCAAAGACTTTATTGATATTTCTGACATGCAGGACTGGACTGACTTGCCTGACATGCTGCTTGGAGATCTTTCCTCACCATTATTCTCGTGTTTCTCCTCCTCACTATCCAGCGAGCTATCGTCCACTTCAGCATTAGCTGAGCGCATTGATTTATTTGATTTTATGGAACATATTGAGTCAATCGATTGTTGTGATATCGGTCGAAATTCACTCCTCTGTTCAACATCTGTTTCCTCATGGTGGACACCCTCCAACCCATCAATCTTTGAACTTGTAGAAACATTAGAAATTTTGGATTGCGTTGATTTTTCCGATCTATTAGAAATATTACTTAAAGCTCTTTCTGCCTTTTCGCCGTTATTAGATATGTTTTCATACAGGTCAACATGTTCTGCTGATTTAGTAGATTTTGCTGATGTAGTTGATATTGCAGTTTTATTTGACAGTGCACTGTGAGCTCTCTGTTCTGCCTCATCTTCACAATGCCCTTCATCAGAAATTATATCACTTGTGTCTGACTCAACATCGGAAACCTTTGACTTAGCTAAATGATTGCTATGGGGTCTCTCTGCAGACACTGCAGATCTTTCAGAAATGACAGATCCTCTGCTTTGTGATCTTTCCTCTTGGTCATTCTCTTGATCATAGGTATTTGAACTTTTCTCTTGTAGGGCTTTATTAGAACATTTTGATTTTGTTGATTTGGTAGAAGTAGCTGAGTTTGTAGATTTGACTGAAAGTACACTGGGAACTCTCTCTTGATTTGCCTGCTCATTTGTATGTTGACCAGGTCTTGAAGACACGTCCAAAGTATTTGATTTGGTAGATTGAGTAGAAATATTTGATTTTGTTGATGTTTTAGACATGACACTTGCTGATCTCAAATTTTGTGATTCAACAGATTTGGTTGATGCACTGCATGCTGCTCTTTTTTCTGGTTTCATTTCCTCACTGTACTGAAAAAGCAACTCAGTACCTTCAGAGGCCATAGCGTGAGCAGAACAGTTTGACCTACTTGATCTGGAGGAGATATTTGTCTTTACTGACTGCACAGATGTTGAGCTGACTGATCTCCCCTCAATTTCTTCTTCACTAAATATTTCTTCAGTGGGACTGCTGCAGATTTCAGAGACATTCTTTTTTGCACATGCCACAGAAGCATGTGATTTAGAAGATTTAGCAGATGCAGCTGACATATTGCTCAAAGCTCTTTCTCTGCATTCATCTTGATCTGAAGAACTTCCTTCGGTACTACCATCACTTGTCTTTGACATGTTAGATTTTGTGGGAGGTTTTGAAAGGATTGATTCCGTTTTGATGTGTGATTGCACTGATTTTAATAATGTAGCACCAGGTCCCTGTTCCCCATTCGCTGCATCACATTCATCCAACTTTTCACGACCTTTTGTCTTACTTGATTTTGCTGAAATATTTGACTTGATGGATTTATCTGACATGCTGCTTGATCTTCCCTCAGATGCATGCAGGTGATTTCTTTCGTTATCAATATTACCAGGGTGGGATGTAAAAACTTGAGAAGGTTCTGATTTTAAAGATATCACAGACGTGTGTGATTTGCCAGATTTTACAGACATGGCACTCCCGGCTCTTTCTATAGTTGTCCTATCTTCTTTACAGGCATTTTGTTTAGTGGGTGTAACAGATGTCGAGCTGACTGATTTTTCTGAAATAAAACTTGATGCTTTTGTTTTAGCAGTATCTGGTATTTCTGTAATGTTGCAATTATCCTCCTTCATATTGTCACTATTGTTATTATGAGCAACTTCGGATTTTTGGGATTTGCTTGATTTAGCAGATACATTTGATTTGACAGACTTTTCTGAATTTACAGACAGTTTGCTTTGTGGTCTCAGTTTGCTCTCACTTTCAGGGTTATAATTTTCTGGGATGTTAGACTTTTTTGCAACATATAGCTCAGTGGTTTTTGTTTTTTTAGATTTTGTTGATAAGTTGGATTTTGTTGACAAAGCACTGGTCGCTCTCTCAGAAGTTTCCTCCAAACTTGGTGACATTCTGGATGTTTGAGATACAGTTGACCTCTCTGAAGTAGCAGACATACAACTTGGTTTTATTCCCCCTGCAGCTTGATTGTCCACTGGTATTCCTTCTGAAGTGCTTGACCCTTTAGAAACAGTAGAAATTTCTGATATTGCACTTTTCACACTGAGTACAGAGTTGCTCTCGATTTCTTCTCCTGTGTTCTGGTTGTCCTCCTCCTCAGATGTCTCTTGTGTTATTCCTTTTAAGTCAGCTGACTCGCTGGATAAAGCTGACAGCAAACTCTGTGTCCTCGGCTCTAAATCATCCTCAGCCTGCTGTTCCACGTCCTCCTCTGACTCATGTCGTACAGGTGGTGCCTTTACAGATTTAGAAGATTTAAAGGATTTCATAGAGATTTTGCTAGATGCTCTGTCTTCTTCTTCTTTCTCATCACATGCTTGCAATCCCTCAGTTGTATCATCTGAAACAGCAGAACTACAATTTCTTGGACTAATCAAATTAGCTGACATGGCACTTTTGAATCCCCCCCTCTCTTCTATACTTTCTACTGTCTGATTTGTTTCTGATCTATTTGATCTACATGATGGATCTGATTTCATAGACATGACACTACATTTATCTCTTTGTATCTCATCGTTTTCTCCAGCTTTATTCTTGATGCTTTCTTGCAGTTTGACCTGAGGCCCAGTAGATTCTCCACAGTGACAAATGTAAGACGGTTTAGAAGTTTTTGGCTTGGTATGCTTCCTTGAACTCTTAAGTGAGTCTGTGCCCAGTGTTTTACTCCCCATGGTTTCTTTCTTGTCAGAGTTGCAAATTTGAGAGCTTGATTCATCATTTCCTTCACCCTTTTCTTCAGTTTGTTCTTCTTGGTCGGATTCTTTATCAGTTTTTAGATCAAAGTTATTTGAACAATTGCCTAAACCAGTCGACTTGCCATTTTCTACAATGGATGGTTTCACGTTGCACTTTGGTAAACAAGTCTCCCTCTGGACGGTACAAAACACCATTTCAGCAGCCTCAATACTTTGCATGCGTGTCTCTACCAATTGATCTGCATGCTCTTCACTTGATCTGGACATAGTTTGCCTCTTAATCACTGTCTTCCTTGAAACCACAGTATGGGAGGATGCACTTGAACTAGAACTATGACTACACCGACTTGCACCATGTTTCCCTATTACATTTTTCCATGTCTCATAACCTTGACAATGACTGCAGCAGTAGGGACAGTGTGGTTTCTCTCTGTGCCCAAGAACATGCTGAGTGAAAAAAGCTTCATCGGTGGACGTGATTTCAGATTCTGAACAGCTTACATCACCAATATGTGCAAGATTAGGATTATTGTGGCCTTTGATCTGATCATTGTTCTGGCCTGCTGTCTTTTTTACTTTTGTAGACCAATGTAATATTTTATCATTTGGTAGTCTGAAGCGCACTTTCATCTCCATGGACAAACTCCCGTCTTTATTAACTCGAACCCATTTCTCTATGTCATCTTCTCTGCTGTCGCCACTTGCTGGGCAGGAATTAACAATTTCTGGGGAGTCCCTTCCATCGGGTGCAGATTTGTCAGATGATACAGAGTACTTTGTGCCTCTGTTGACATCTTCCAGGTTTGGGAGGGTGATGTTTGTCTTTGCAGTGATTCCTTAGTTAATTTTAATTGAAATGAGAAAGAGACAAATAAAAAAAAAATTAGTCCTCTTTGGCATCTCAAATTATTCATATGGATGTAATTTACTACAGTCTATTAATTTATCAGGGAATATTTTGATTTTAGTTCCATGGAGTCTAATAGGTAATGAAAAGAAAATTATTTGTCCTTAATTATAGATATTATAGATATTTTCATGCTTCGGCAATTAAATATTGCATTAAAAGATTTTAAAAGTGGCTTCTCTTACTTTCATCCCCATCAGTGGGTTCAGTGGTGCGTGACTTCCCACTCAGCCTTGGAAGTTTGTTGCTGGATGTTTTCTCAAAATTCTCCATGATCATAGGATGAGAGGGTTCCCGTCCGACACAAACCAGAACACCAGGGCACTGCAGAAGGCTTTGAATGCTGTCAATCTGCAAAAAGGTAGAGTATTATAAATTATTTATAATTTAATTTATAATTATAAACTTAGTCAGTTAATATTTGACAGAAAGAACCTATCCACCATTTACATTTGAAGCTCCTCAAGCTTGCATATTTGAGCAAGTCTATTTTTATTATATATATGCTTCCAATGAGGTGTGCTTTTAAAAAACATAAGATATCATAATATGTGTTTGTTGATGATATCCTAATCTATTTGACCATGACAATAAAAAACAATATTCATTCAATAGTTGTCCACTGGA